GAGTGTTTGCATCTCACTTCATGGCTTCTAGACAACAGTAAATGATCTTTCTTGCACAACAGAGGACCGGGACAAGTTTAAACCGAAGCTGTTGCTGTGCGCGAGGAAGCGAGCACTCTAACACGATCGATGGACGTAACGGCTTACAAAAGCACCGCAATGTTTCGACATAAGTCGTCAGCGTCGAAAAAGTGACAATACGACGCGTTCGCATTCGACACTGCAATAATAGCACGTGTGCGTGGGTGCATGCAGCGCGTGCAGTCGGCGGAACATGTGGACGTGAAAAGCGGTGAGCGTGGCCTTGTGGTCTAGTGGTATGATTCTCGCTTAGGGTGCGAGAGGTCCCGGACTCGATCTCGGGCAAGGCCCAGCCTGTCACCGATCATGCGGGAAGAGTGTTTGCATCTCACTTCATGGCTTCTAGACAACAGTAAATGATCTTTCTTGCACAACAGAGGACCGGGACAAGTTTAAATCGAAGCTGTTGCTATGTGCGAGAAAGCGAGCACTCTAACACGATCGATGGACGTAACGGCTTACAAAAGCACCGCAATGTTTCGACATAAGTCGTCAGCGTCGAAAAAGTGACAATACGACGCGTTCGCATTCGACACTGCAATAATAGCACTTGTGTGTGGGTGCGTGCAGCGCGTGCAGTCGGCGGAACATGTGGACGTGAAAAGCGGTGAGCGTGGCCTTGTGGTCTAGTGGTATGATTCTCGATTAGGGTGCGAGAGGTCCCGGACTCGATCTCGGGCAAGGCCCAGCCTGTCACCGATCATGCGGGAAGAGTGTTTGCATCTCACTTCGTGGCTTCTAGACAACAGTAAATGATCTTTCTTGCACAACAGAGGAACGGGACAAGTTTAAACCGAAGCTGTTGCTGTGCGCAAGGAAGCGAGCACTCTAACACGATCGATGGACGTAACGGCTTACAAAAGCACCGCAATGTTTCGACATAAGTCGTCAGCGTCGAAAAAGTGACAATACGACGCGTTCGCATTCGACACTGCAATAATAGCACGTGTGCGTGGGTGCATGCAGCGCGTGCAGTCGGCGGAACATGTGGACGTGAAAAGCGGTGAGCGTGGCCTTGTGGTCTAGTGGTATGATTCTCGCTTAGGGTGCGAGAGGTCCCGGACTCGATCTCGGGCAAGGCCCAGCCTGTCACCGATCATGCGGGAAGAGTGTTTGCATCTCACTTCATGGCTTCTAGACAACAGTAAATGATCTTTCTTGCACAACAGAGGACCGGGACAAGTATAAACCGAAGCTGTTGCTGTGCGCGAGGAAGCGAGCACTCTAACACGATCGATGGACGTAACGGCTTACAAAAGCACCGCAATGTTTCGACATAAGTCGTCAGCGTCGAAAAAGTGACAATACGACGCGTTCGCATTCGACACTGCAATAATAGCACGTGTGCGTGGGTGCATGCAGCGCGTGCAGTCGGCGGAACATGTGGACGTGAAAAGCGGTGAGCGTGGCCTTGTGGTCTAGTGGTATGATTCTCGCTTAGGGTGCGAGAGGTCCCGGACTCGATCTCGGGCAAGGCCCAGCCTGTCACCGATCATGCGGGAAGAGTGTTTGCATCTCACTTCATGGCTTCTAGACAACAGTAAATGATCTTTCTTGCACAACAGAGGACCGGGACAAGTTTAAACCGAAGCTGTTGCTGTGTGCGAGGAAGCGAGCACTCTAACAAGATCGATGGACGTAACGGCTTACAAAAGCACCGCAATGGTTTGACATAAGAGTCGTCAGCGTCAGTAAAGTGACAATACGATGCGTTCGCATTCGACACTGCAATAATAGCACGTGTGTGTGGGTGCATGCAGAGCGTGCAGTCGGCGGAACATGTGGACGTGAAAAGCGGTGAGCGTGGCCTTGTGGTCTAGTGGTATGATTCTCGCTTAGGGTGCGAGAGGTCCCGGACTCGATCTCCGGCAAGGCCCAGCCCGTCACCGATCATGCGGGGAGAGTATTTGCATCTCGCTTTATGGCTTCTAGACAACAGCAAATGATCTTTCTTGCACAACAGAGGACCGGGACAAGTTTAAACCGAAGCTGTTGCTGTGCGCGAGGACGCGAGCACTCTAACAAGATCGATGGACGTAACGGCTTACAAAGCACCGCAATGGTTTGAAAAGAGTCGTCAGCGTCAGTAACGTGCCAATGCGATGCGTTCGCATTCGACACTGCAATAATAGCACTTGTGTGTGGGTGCATGCAGCGCGTGCAGTCGGCGGAACATGTGGACGTGAAAAGCGGTGAGCGTGGCCTTGTGGTCTAGTGGTATGATTCTCGCTTAGGGTGCGAGAAGTCCCGGACTCGATCTCCGGCAAGGCCCAGCCCGTCACCGATCATGCGGGGAGAGTGTTTGCATCTCACTTTATGGCTTCTAGAACAACAGTAAATGATCTTTCTTGCACAACAGAGGACCGGGACAAGTTTAAACCGAAGCTGTTGCTGTGCGCGAGGAAGCGAGCACTCTAACAAGATCGATGGACGTAACGGCTTACAAAAGCACCGCAATGTTTCGAAAAGAGTCGTCAGCGTCAGTAACGTGCCAATGCGATGCGTTCGCATTCGACACTGCAATAATAGCACGAGTGTGTGGGTGCATGTAGCGCGTGCAGTCGGCGGAACATGTGGACGTGAAAAGCGGTGAGCGTGGCCTTGTGGTCTAGTGGTATGATTCTCGCTTAGGGTGCGAGAGGTCCCGGACTCGATCTCCGGCAAGGCCCAGCCCGTCACCGATCATGCGGGAAGAGTATTTGCATCTCACTTTATGGCTTCTAGACAACAGCAAATGATCTTTCTTGCACAACAGAGGACCGGGACAAGTTTAAACCAAAGCTGTTGCTGTGCGCGAGGAAGCGAGCACTCTAACAAGATCGATGGACGTAACGGCTTACAAAGCACCGCAATGGTTTGAAAAGAGTCGTCAGCGTCGAGAAACGTGCCAATACGATGCGTTCGCATTCGACACTGCAATAATAGCACGTGTGTGTGGGTGCATGTAGCGCGTGCAGTCGGCGGAACATGTGGACGTGAAAAGCGGTGAGCGTGGCCTTGTGGTCTAGTGGTATGATTCTCGCTTAGGGTGCGAGAGGTCCCGGACTCGATCTCCGGCAAGGCCCAGCCCGTCACCGATCATGCGGGAAGAGTGTTTGCATCTCACTTCATGGCTTCTAGACAACAGTAAATGATCTTTCTTGCACAACAGAGGACCGGGACAAGTATAAACCGAAGCTGTTGCTGTGCGCGAGGAAGCGAGCACTCTAACACGATCGATGGACGTAACGGCTAACAAAGCACCGCAATGGTTTGAAAAGAGTCGTCAGCGTCGAAAAAGTGACAATACGATGCATTCGCATTCGACACTGCAATAATAGCACGTGTGTGTGGGTGCATGTAGCGCGTGCAGTCGGCGGAACATCGGGACGTGAAAAGCGGTGAGCGTGGCCTTGTGGTCTAGTGGTATGATTCTCGCTTAGGGTGCGAGAGGTCCCGGACTCGATCTCCGGCAAGGCCCAGCCCGTCACCGATCATGCGGGAAGAGTGTTTGCATCTCACTTCATGGCTTCTAGACAACAGTAAATGATCTTTCTTGCACAACAGAGGACCGGGACAAGTTTAAACCGAAGCTGTTGCTGTGCGCGAGGACGCGAGCACTCTAACAAGATCGATGGACGTAACGGCTTACAAAAGCACCGCAATGTTTCGACATAAGTCGTCAGCGTCAGTAACGTGCCAATGCGATGCGTTCGCATTCGACACTGCAATAATAGCACTTGTGTCTGGGTGCGTGCAGCGCGTGCAGTCGGGGGAACATGAGGACGTGAAAAGCGGTGAGCGTGGCCTTGTGGTCTAGTGGTATGATTCTCGCTTAGGGTGCGAGAGGTCCCGGACTCGATCTCCGGCAAGGCCCAGCCCGTCACCGATCATGCGGGAAGAGTGTTTGCATCTCACTTCATGGCTTCTAGACAACAGTAAATGATCTTTCTTGCACAACAGAGGACCGGGACAAGTTTAAACCGAAGCTGTTGCTGTGCGCGAGGAAGCGAGCACTCTAACAAGATCGATGGACGTAACGGCTTACAAAAGCACCGCAATGTTTCGACATAAGTCGTCAGCGTCAGTAACGTGCCAATGCGATGCGTTCGCATTCGACACTGCAATAATAGCACTTGTGTGTGGGTGCATGCAGCGCGTGCAGTCGGCGGAACATGAGGACGTGAAAAGCGGTGAGCGTGGCCTTGTGGTCTAGTGGTATGATTCTCGCTTAGGGTGCGAGAGGTCCCGGACTCGATCTCCGGCAAGGCCCAGCCCGTCACCGATCATGCAAGGAGAGTATTTTCATCTCGCTTTATGGCTTCTAAACAACAGCAAATGATCTTTCTTGCACAACAGAGGACCGGGACAAGTTTAAATCGAAGCTGTTGCTGTGCGCGAGGAAGCGAGCACTCCAACAAGATCGATGGACGTAACGGCTTACAAAGCACCGCGATGGTTTGAAAAGAGTCGTCAGCGTCAGTAACGTGCCAATGCGATGCGTTTGCATTCGACACTGCAATAATAGCACGAGTGTGTGGGTGCACGCAGCTCGTGCAGTCGGCGGTACATGTGGACGTGAAAAGCGGAGAGCGTGGCCTTGTGGTCTAGTGGTATGATTCCCGCTTAGGGTGCGAGATGTCCCGGATTCGATCTCCGGCAAGGCCCAGCCCGTCCCCGATCATGCGGGGAGAGTATTTGCGTCTCGCTTTATGGCTTCTAAACAACAGCAAATGATCTTTCTTGCACAACAGAGGACCGGGACAAGTTTAAATCGAAGCTGTTGCTGTGCGCGAGGAAGCGAGCACTCTAACATGATCGATGGACGTAACGGCTAACAAAGCACCGCGGTGGTTTGAAAAGAGTCGTTAGCGTCAGTAACGTGCCAATACGATGCGTTCGCATTCGACACTGCAATAATAGCACGTGTGTGTGGGTGCATGCAGCGCGTGCAGTCGGCGGAACATGTGGACGTGAAAAGCGGTGAGCGTGGCCTTGTGGTCTAGTGGTATGATTCTCGCTTAGGGTGCGAGAGGTCCCGGACTCGATCTCCGGCAAGGCCCAGCCCGTCACCGATCATGCGGGAAGAGTATTTGCATCTCGCTTTATGGCTTCTAGACAACAGCAAATGATCTTTCTTGCACAACAGAGGACCGGGACAAGTTTAAATCGAAGCTGTTGCTGTGCGCGAGGAAGCGAGCACTCTAACATGATCGATGGACGTAACGGCTTACAAAAGCACCGCAATGGTTTGAAAAGAGTCGTTAGCGTCAGTAACGTGGCAATACGATGCGTTCGCATTCGACACTGCAATAATAGCACGTGTGTGTGGGTGCATGCAGCGCGTGCAGTCGGCGGAACATGAGGACGTGAAAAGCGGTGAGCGTGGCCTTGTGGTCTAGTGGTATGATTCTCGATTAGGGTGCGAGAGGTCCCGTACTCGATCTCCGGCAAGGCCCAGCCTGTCACCGATCATGCGGGAAGAGTATTTGCATCTCGCTTTATGGCTTCTAAACAACAGCAAATGATCTTTCTTGCACAACAGAGGACCGGGACAAGTTTAAATCGAAGCTGTTGCTGTGCGCGAGGAAGCGAGCACTCTAACACGATCGATGGACGTAACGGCTTACAAAAGCACCGCAATGGTTTGAAAAGAGTCGTCAGTGTCAGTAACGTGACAATGCGATGCGTTCGCATTCGACACTGCAATAATAGCACGTGTGCGTGGGTGCATGCAGCGCGTGCAGTCGGCGGAACATGAGGACGTGAAAAGCGGTGAGCGTGGCCTTGTGGTCTAGTGGTATGATTCTCGCTTAGGGTGCGAGAGGTCCCGGACTCGATCTCCGGCAAGGCCCAGCCCGTCACCGATCATGCAGGAAGAGTATTTGCATCTCGCTTTATGGCTTCTAAACAACAGCAAATGATCTTTCTTGCACAACAGAGGACCGGGACAAGTTTAAATCGAAGCTGTTGCTGTGCGCGAGGAAGCGAGCACTCTAACAAGATCGATGGACGTAACGGCTTACAAAAGCACCGCAATGTTTCGACATAAGTCGTCAGCGTCGAAAAAGTGACAATACGATGCATTCGCATTCGACACTGCAATAATAGCACGTGTGTGTGGGTGCATGTAGCGCGTGCAGTCGGCGGAACATGAGGACGTGAAAAGCGGTGAGCGTGGCCTTGTGGTCTAGTGGTATGATTCTCGCTTAGGGTGCGAGAGGTCCCGGACTCGATCTCCGGCAAGGCCCAGCCCGTCACCGATCATGCGGGAAGAGTATTTGCATCTCGCTTTATGGCTTCTAAACAACAGCAAATGATCTTTCTTGCACAACAGAGGACCGGGACAAGTTTAAATCGAAGCTGTTGCTGTGCGCGAGGAAGCGAGCACTCTAACACGATCGATGGACGTAACGGCTTACAAAGCACCGCAATGGTTTGAAAAGAGTCGTCAGCGTCAGTAAAAGTGCCAATACGATGCGTTCGCATTCGACACTGCAATAATAGCACGTGTGTGTGGGTGCATGCAGCGCGTGCAGTCGGCGGAACATGAGGACGTGAAAAGCGGTGAGCGTGGCCTTGTGGTCTAGTGGTATGATTCTCGCATAGGGTGCGAGAGGTCCCGGACTCGATCTCCGGCAAGGCCCAGCCCGTCACCGATCATGCAAGGAGAGTATTTGCATCTCGCTTTATGGCTTCTAGACAACAGCAAATGATCTTTCTTGCACAACAGAGGACCGGGACAAGTTTAAACCGAAGCTGTTGCTGTGCGCGAGGAAGCGAGCACTCCAACACGATCGATGGACGTAACGGCTAACAAAGCACCGCGATGGTTTGAAAAGAGTCGTCAGCGTCAGTAACGTGCCAATACGATGCGTTCGCATTCGACACTGCAATAATAGCACTTGTGTGTGGGTGCACGCAGCTCGTGCAGTCGGCGGAACATGAGGACGTGAAAAGCGGTGAGCGTGGCCTTGTGGTCTAGTGGTATGATTCTCGCTTAGGGTGCGAGAGGTCCCGGACTCGATCTCCGGCAAGGCCCAGCCCGTCACCGATCATGCAAGGAGAGTATTTTCATCTCGCTTTATGGCTTCTAAACAACAGTAAATGATCTTTCTTGCACAACAGAGGACCGGGACAAGTTTAAACCGAAGCTGTTGCTGTGCGCGAGGAAGCGAGCACTCCAACACGATCGATGGACGTAACGGCTTACAAAGCACCGCAATGGTTTGAAAAGAGTCGTCAGCGTCAGTAACGTGCCAATGCGATGCGTTCGCATTCGACACTGCAATAATAGCACGAGTGTGTGGGTGCACGCAGCTCGTGCAGTCGGCGGAACATGAGGACGTGAAAAGCGGTGAGCGTGGCCTTGTGGTCTAGTGGTATGATTCTCGCTTAGGGTGCGAGAGGTCCCGGACTCGATCTCCGGCAAGGCCCAGCCCGTCACCGATCATGCAAGGAGAGTATTTGCATCTCGCTTTATGGCTTCTAAACAACAGCAAATGATCTTTCTTGCACAACAGAGGACCGGGACAAGTTTAAATCGAAGCTGTTGCTGTGCGCGAGGAAGCGAGCACTCCAACAAGATCGATGGACGTAACGGCTTACAAAGCACCGCGATGGTTTGAAAAGAGTCGTCAGCGTCAGTAACGTGCCAATGCGATGCGTTCGCATTCGACACTGCAATAATAGCACGTGTGTGTGGGTGCATGCAGCGCGTGCAGTCGGCGGAACATGTGGACGTGAAAAGCGGTGTAGCGTGGCCTTGTGGTCTAGTGGTATGATTCTCGCTTAGGGTGCGAGAGGTCCCGGACTCGATCTCCGGCAAGGCCCAGCCCGTCACCGATCATGCAAGGAAGAGTATTTGCATCTCGCTTTATGGCTTCTAAACAACAGCAAATGATCTTTCTTGCACAACAGAGGACCGGGACAAGTTTAAATCGAAGCTGTTGCTGTGCGCGAGAAAGCGAGCACTCCAACACGATCGATGGACGTAACGGCTTACAAAAGCACCGCAATGGTTTGAAAAGAGTCGTCAGCGTCAGTAACGTGCCAATACGATGCGTTCGCATTCGACACTGCAATAATAGCACTTGTGTGTGGGTGCACGCAGCTCGTGCAGTCGGCGGAACATGAGGACGTGAAAAGCGGTGAGCGTGGCCTTGTGGTCTAGTGGTATGATTCTCGCTTAGGGTGCGAGAGGTCCCGGACTCGATCTCCGGCAAGGCCCAGCCTGTCACCGATCATGCAAGAAGATTATTTGCATCTCGCTTTATGGCTTCTAAACAACAGCAAATGATCTTTCTTGCACAACAGAGGACCGGGACAAGTTTAAATCGAAGCTGTTGCTGTGCGCGAGGAAGCGAGCACTCCAACACGATCGATGGACGTAACGGCTTACAAAGCACCGCAATGGTTTGAAAAGAGTCGTCAGCGTCAGTAACGTGCCAATACGATGCGTTCGCATTCGACACTGCAATAATAGCACTTGTGTGTGGGTGCACGCAGCTCGTGCAGTCGGCGGAACATGAGGACGTGAAAAGCGGTGAGCGTGGCCTTGTGGTCTAGTGGTATGATTCTCGCTTAGGGTGCGAGAGGTCCCGGACTCGATCTCCGGCAAGGCCCAGCCCGTCACCGATCATGCAGGGAAGAGTATTTGCATCTCGCTTTATGGCTTCTAAACAACAGCAAATGATCTTTCTTGCACAACAGAGGACCGGGACAAGTTTAAATCGAAGCTGTTGCTGTGCGCGAGGAAGCGAGCACTCCAACACGATCGATGGACGTAACGGCTTACAAAGCACCGCGATGGTTTGAAAAGAGTCGTCAGTGTCAGTAACGTGCCAATACGATGCGTTCGCATTCGACACTGCAATAATAGCACGAGTGTGTGGGTGCACGCAGCTCGTGCAGTCGGCGGAACATGAGGACGTGAAAAGCGGTGAGCGTGGCCTTGTGGTCTAGTGGTATGATTCTCGCTTAGGGTGCGAGAGGTCCCGGACTCGATCTCCGGCAAGGCCCAGCCCGTCACCGATCATGCGGGAAGAGTATTTGCATCTCGCTTTATGGCTTCTAGACAACAGCAAATGATCTTTCTTGCACAACAGAGGACCGGGACAAGCATGAACCGAAGCTGTTGCTGTGCGCGAGGAAGCGAGCACTCCAACACGATCGATGGACGTAACGGCTAACAAAGCACCGCGATGGTTTGAAAAGAGTCGTCAGCGTCAGTAACGTGCCAATACGATGCGTTCGCATTCGACACTGCAATAATAGCACTTGTGTGTGGGTGCACGCAGCTCGTGCAGTCGGCGGAACATGTGGACGTGAAAAGCGGTGAGCGTGGCCTTGTGGTCTAGTGGTATGATTCTCGCTTAGGGTGCGAGAGGTCCCGGACTCGATCTCCGGCAAGGCCCAGCCCGTCACCGATCATGCAAGGAGAGTATTTGCATCTCGCTTTATGGCTTCTAAACAACAGCAAATGATCTTTCTTGCACAACAGAGGACCGGGACAAGTTTAAATCGAAGCTGTTGCTGTGCGCGAGGAAGCGAGCACTCCAACAAGATCGATGGACGTAACGGCTTACAAAGCACCGCAATGGTTTGAAAAGAGTCGTCAGCGTCAGTAACGTGCCAATGCGATGCGTTCGCATTCGACACTGCAATAATAGCACGAGTGTGTGGGTGCATGTAGCGCGTGCAGTCGGCGGAACATGTGGACGTGAAAAGCGGTGAGCGTGGCCTTGTGGTCTAGTGGTATGATTCTCGCTTAGGGTGCGAGAGGTCCCGGACTCGATCTCCGGCAAGGCCCAGCCCGTCACCGATCATGCGGGAAGAGTATTTGCATCTCGCTTTATGGCTTCTAAACAACAGCAAATGATCTTTCTTGCACAACAGAGGACCGGGACAAGTTTAAATCGAAGCTGTTGCTGTGCGCGAGGAAGCGAGCACTCCAACAAGATCGATGGACGTAACGGCTTTCAAAAGCACCGCGATGGTTTGAAAAGAGTCGTCAGTGTCAGTAACGTGCCAATACGATGCGTTCGCATTCGACACTGCAATAATAGCACTTGTGTGTGGGTGCACGCAGCTCGTGCAGTCGGGGGAACATGAGGACGTGAAAAGCGGTGAGTGTGGCCTTGTGGTCTAGTGGTATGATTCTCGATTAGGGTGCGAGAGGTCCCGTACTCGATCTCCGGCAAGGCCCAGCCTGTCACCGATCATGCAAGAAGATTATTTGCATCTCGCTTTATGGCTTCTAAACAACAGCAAATGATCTTTCTTGCACAACAGAGGACCGGGACAAGTTTAAATCGAAGCTGTTGCTGTGCGCGAGGAAGCGAGCACTCCAACACGATCGATGGACGTAACGGCTAACAAAGCACCGCGATGGTTTGAAAAAGAGTCGTCAGCGTCAGTAACGTGCCAATACGATGCGTTCGCATTCGACACTGCAATAATAGCACTTGTGTGTGGGTGCACGCAGCTCGTGCAGTCGGCGGAACATGAGGACGTGAAAAGCGGTGAGCGTGGCCTTGTGGTCTAGTGGTATGATTCTCGCTTAGGGTGCGAGAGGTCCCGGACTCGATCTCCGGCAAGGCCCAGCCTGTCACCGATCATGCAAGAAGAGTATTTGCATCTCGCTTTATGGCTTCTAAACAACAGCAAATGATCTTTCTTGCACAACAGAGGACCGGGACAAGTTTAAATCGAAGCTGTTGCTGTGCGCGAGGAAGCGAGCACTCCAACACGATCGATGGACGTAACGGCTTACAAAGCACCGCGATGGTTTGAAAAGAGTCGTCAGCGTCAGTAACGTGCCAATACGATGCGTTCGCATTCGACACTGCAATAATAGCACTTGTGTGTGGGTGCACGCAGCTCGTGCAGTCGGCGGAACATGAGGACGTGAAAAGCGGTGAGCGTGGCCTTGTGGTCTAGTGGTATGATTCTCGCTTAGGGTGCGAGAGGTCCCGGACTCGATCTCCGGCAAGGCCCAGCCTGTCACCGATCATGCAAGAAGAGTATTTGCATCTCGCTTTATGGCTTCTAAACAACAGCAAATGATCTTTCTTGCACAACAGAGGACCGGGACAAGTTTAAATCGAAGCTGTTGCTGTGCGCGAGGAAGCGAGCACTCCAACAAGATCGATGGACGTAACGGCTAACAAAGCACCGCGATGGTTTGAAAAGAGTCGTCAGCGTCAGTAACGTGCCAATACGATGCGTTCGCATTCGACACTGCAATAATAGCACGTGTGTGTGGGTGCACGCAGCTCGTGCAGTCGGCGGAACATGAGGACGTGAAAAGCGGTGAGCGCGGCCTTGTGGTCTAGTGGTATAGTTCTCGCTTAGGGTGCGAGAGGTCCCGGACTCGATCTCCGGCAAGGCCCAGCCTGTCACCGATCGTGCAAGGAGAGTATTTTCATCTCGCTTTATGGCTTCTAAACAACAGCAAATGATCTTTCTTGCACAACAGAGGAACGGGACAAGTTTAAATCGAAGCTGTTGCTGTGCGCGAGGAAGCGAGCACTCTAACAAGATCGATGGACGTAACGGCTTACAAAGCACCGCAATGGTTTGAAAAGAGTCGTCAGCGTCAGTAACGTGCCAATACGATGCGTTCGCATTCGACACTGCAATAATAGCACTTGTGTGTGGGTGCACGCAGCTCGTGCAGTCGGCGGAACATGAGGACGTGAAAAGCGGTGAGCGTGGCCTTGTGGTCTAGTGGTATGATTCTCGCTTAGGGTGCGAGAGGTCCCGGACTCGATCTCCGGCAAGGCCCAGCCTGTCACCGATCATGCAAGAAGAGTATTTGCATCTCGCTTTATGGCTTCTAGACAACAGCAAATGATCTTTCTTGCACAACAGAGGACCGGGACAAGTTTAAATCGAAGCTGTTGCTGTGCGCGAGGAAGCGAGCACTCCAACACGATCGATGGACGTAACGGCTAACAAAGCACCGCGATGGTTTGAAAAGAGTCGTCAGCGTCAGTAACGTGCCAATACGATGCGTTCGCATTCGACACTGCAATAATAGCACTTGTGTGTGGGTGCACGCAGCTCGTGCAGTCGGCGGAACATGAGGACGTGAAAAGCGGTGAGCGTGGCCTTGTGGTCTAGTGGTATGATTCTCGCTTAGGGTGCGAGAGGTCCCGGACTCGATCTCCGGCAAGGCCCAGCCTGTCACCGATCATGCAAGAAGAGTATTTGCATCTCGCTTTATGGCTTCTAAACAACAGCAAATGATCTTTCTTGCACAACAGAGGACCGGGACAAGTTTAAACCGAAGCTGTTGCTGTGCGCGAGGAAGCGAGCACTCCAACACGATCGATGGACGTAACGGCTAACAAAGCACCGCGATGGTTTGAAAAGAGTCGTCAGTGTCAGTAACGTGCCAATACGATGCGTTCGCATTCGACACTGCAATAATAGCACTTGTGTGTGGGTGCACGCAGCTCGTGCAGTCGGCGGAACATGAGGACGTGAAAAGCGGTTAGCGTGGCCTTGTGGTCTAGTGGTATGATTCTCGCTTAGGGTGCGAGAGGTCCCGGACTCGATCTCCGGCAAGGCCCAGCCCGTCACCGATCATGCGGGAAGAGTATTTGCATCTCGCTTTATGGCTTCTAAACAACAGCAAATGATCTTTCTTGCACAACAGAGGACCGGGACAAGTTTAAACCGAAGCTGTTGCTGTGCGCGAGGAAGCGAGCACTCCAACACGATCGATGGACGTAACGGCTAACAAAGCACCGCGATGGTTTGAAAAGAGTCGTCAGCGTCAGTAACGTGCCAATACGATGCGTTCGCATTCGACACTGCAATAATAGCACTTGTGTGTGGGTGCACGCAGCTCGTGCAGTCGGCGGAACATGAGGACGTGAAAAGCGGTGAGCGTGGCCTTGTGGTCTAGTGGTATGATTCTCGCTTAGGGTGCGAGAGGTCCCGGACTCGATCTCCGGCAAGGCCCAGCCCGTCACCGATCATGCAGGAAGAGTATTTGCATCTCGCTTTATGGCTTCTAAACAACAGCAAATGATCTTTCTTGCACAACAGAGGACCGGGACAAGTTTAAACCGAAGCTGTTGCTGTGCGCGAGGAAGCGAGCACTCCAACACGATCGATGGACGTAACGGCTAACAAAGCACCGCGATGGTTTGAAAAAGAGTCGTCAGCGTCAGTAACGTGCCAATACGATGCGTTCGCATTCGACACTGCAATAATAGCACTTGTGTGTGGGTGCACGCAGCTCGTGCAGTCGGCGGAACATGAGGACGTGAAAAGCGGTGAGCGTGGCCTTGTGGTCTAGTGGTATGATTCTCGCTTAGGGTGCGAGAGGTCCCGGACTCGATCTCCGGCAAGGCCCAGCCCGTCACCGATCATGCGAGAAGAGTATTTGCATCTCGCTTTATGGCTTCTAAACAACAGCAAATGATTTTTCTTGCACAACAGAGGACCGGGACAAGTTTAAATCGAAGCTGTTGCTGTGCGCGAGGAAGCGAGCACTCCAACAAGATCGATGGACGTAACGGCTTACAAAGCACCGCGATGGTTTGAAAAGAGTCGTCAGTGTCAGTAACGTGCCAATACGATGCGTTCGCATTCGACACTGCAATAATAGCACTTGTGTGTGGGTGCACGCAGCTCGTGCAGTCGGCGGAACATGAGGACGTGAAAAGCGGTTAGCGTGGCCTTGTGGTCTAGTGGTATAATTCTCGCTTAGGGTGCGAGAGGACCCGGACTCGATCTCCGGCAAGGCCCAGCCTGTCACCGATCATGCAAGAAGATTATTTGCATCTCGCTTTATGGCTTCTAAACAATAGCAAATGATCTTTCTTGCACAACAGAGGACCGGGACAAGTTTAAATCGAAGCTGTTGCTGTGCGCGAGGAAGCGAGCACTCCAACAAGATCGATGGACGTAACGGCTTACAAAGCACCGCGATGGTTTGAAAAGAGTCGTCAGCGTCAGTAACGTGCCAATACGATGCGTTCGCATTCGACACTGCAATAATAGCACTTGTGTGTGGGTGCACGCAGCTCGTGCAGTCGGCGGAACATGAGGACGTGAAAAGCGGTTAGCGTGGCCTTGTGGTCTAGTGGTATAATTCTCGCTTAGGGTGCGAGAGGACCCGGACTCGATCTCCGGCAAGGCCCAGCCTGTCACCGATCATGCAAGAAGATTATTTGCATCTCGCTTTATGGCTTCTAAACAACAGCAAATGATCTTTCTTGCACAACAGAGGACCGGGACAAGTTTAAATCGAAGCTGTTGCTGTGCGCGAGGAAGCGAGCACTCCAACAAGATCGATGGACGTAACGGCTTACAAAGCACCGCAATGGTTTGAAAAGAGTCGTCAGCGTCAGTAACGTGCCAATACGATGCGTTCGCATTCGACACTGCAATAATAGCACGTGTGTGTGGGTGCACGCAGCTCGTGCAGTCGGCGGAACATGAGGACGTGAAAAGCGGTTAGCGTGGCCTTGTGGTCTAGTGGTATGATTCTCGCTTAGGGTGCGAGAGGTCCCGGACTCGATCTCCGGCAAGGCCCAGCCCGTCACCGATCATGCGGGAAGAGTATTTGCATCTCGCTTTATGGCTTCTAAACAATAGCAAATGATCTTTCTTGCACAACAGAGGACCGGGACAAGTTTAAATCGAAGCTGTTGCTGTGCGCGAGGAAGCGAGCACTCCAACAAGATCGATGGACGTAACGGCTTACAAAGCACCGCGATGGTTTGAAAAAGAGTCGTCAGCGTCAGTAACGTGCCAATACGATGCGTTCGCATTCGACACTGCAATAATAGCACTTGTGTGTGGGTGCACGCAGCTCGTGCAGTCGCTGGAACATGAGGACGTGAAAAGCGGTGAGCGTGGCCTTGTGGTCTAGTGGTATAATTCTCGATTAGGGTGCGAGAGGTCCCGGACTCGATCTCCGGCAAGGCCCAGCCCGTCACCGATCATGCAAGGAGAGTATTTGCATCTCGCTTTATGGCTTCTAAACAACAGCAAATGATCTTTCTTGCACAACAGAGGACCGGGACAAGTTTAAACCGAAGCTGTTGCTGTGCGCGAGGAAGCGAGCACTCCAACACGATCGATGGACGTAACGGCTAACAAAGCACCGCGATGGTTTGAAAAGAGTCGTCAGCGTCAGTAACGTGCCAATACGATGCGTTCGCATTCGACACTGCAATAATAGCACTTGTGTGTGGGTGCACGCAGCTCGTGCAGTCGGCGGAACATGAGGACGTGAAAAGCGGTGAGCGTGGCCTTGTGGTCTAGTGGTATAATTCTCGCTTAGGGTGCGAGAGGTCCCGGACTCGATCTCCGGCAAGGCCCAGCCTGTCACCGATCATGCGGGAAGAGTATTTGCATCTCGCTTTATGGCTTCTAAACAACAGCAAATGATCTTTCTTGCACAACAGAGGACCGGGACAAGTTTAAATCGAAGCTGTTGCTGTGCGCGAGGAAGCGAGCACTCCAACAAGATCGATGGACGTAACGGCTTACAAAGCACCGCGATGGTTTGAAAAGAGTCGTCAGTGTCAGTAACGTGCCAATACGATGCGTTCGCATTCGACACTGCAATAATAGCACTTGTGTGTGGGTGCACGCAGCTCGTGCAGTCGGCGGAACATGAGGACGTGAAAAGCGGTGAGCGTGGCCTTGTGGTCTAGTGGTATAATTCTCGCTTAGGGTGCGAGAGGTCCCGGACTCGATCTCCGGCAAGGCCCAGCCTGTCACCGATCATGCAAGAAGAGTATTTGCATCTCGCTTTATGGCTTCTAAACAACAGCAAATGATCTTTCTTGCACAACAGAGGACCGGGACAAGTTTAAATCGAAGCTGTTGCTGTGCGCGAGGAAGCGAGCACTCCAACACGATCGATGGACGTAACGGCTAACAAAGCACCGCGATGGTTTGAAAAGAGTCGTCAGCGTCAGTAACGTGCCAATACGATGCGTTCGCATTCGACACTGCAATAATAGCACTTGTGTGTGGGTGCACGCAGCTCGTGCAGTCGGCGGAACATGAGGACGTGAAAAGCGGTGAGCGTGGCCTTGTGGTCTAGTGGTATGATTCTCGCTTAGGGTGCGAGAGGTCCCGGACTCGATCTCCGGCAAGGCCCAGCCCGTCACCGATCATGCAGGAAGAGTATTTGCATCTCGCTTTATGGCTTCTAAACAACAGCAAATGATCTTTCTTGCACAACAGAGGAACGGGACAAGTTTAAACCAAAGCTGTTGCTGTGCGCGAGGAAGCGAGCACTCCAACACGATCGATGGACGTAACGGCTAACAAAGCACCGCGATGGTTTGAAAAGAGTCGTCAGCGTCAGTAACGTGCCAATACGATGCGTTCGCATTCGACACTGCAATAATAGCACTTGTGTGTGGGTGCACGCAGCTCGTGCAGTCGCTGGAACATGAGGACGTGAAAAGCGGTGAGCGTGGCCTTGTGGTCTAGTGGTATGATTCTCGCTTAGGGTGCGAGAGGTCCCGGACTCGATCTCCGGCAAGGCCCAGCCCGTCACCGATCATGCAAGGAGAGTATTTTCATCTCGCTTTATGGCTTCTAAACAACAGCAAATGATCTTTCTTGCACAACAGAGGACCGGGACAAGTTTAAACCGAAGCTGTTGCTGTGCGCGAGGAAGCGAGCACTCCAACAAGATCGATGGACGTAACGGCTAACAAAGCACCGCGATGGTTTGAAAAGAGTCGTCAGTGTCAGTAACGTGCCAATACGATGCGTTCGCATTCGACACTGCAATAATAGCACTTGTGTGTGGGTGCACGCAGCTCGTGCAGTCGCTGGAACATGAGGACGTGAAAAGCGGTTAGCGTGGCCTTGTGGTCTAGTGGTATAATTCTCGCTTAGGGTGCGAGAGGTCCCGGACTCGATCTCCGGCAAGGCCCAGCCCGTTACCGATCATGCGGGAAGAGTATTTGCATCTCGCTTTATGGCTTCTAGACAACAGCAAATGATCTTTCTTGCACAACAGAGGACCGGGACAAGTTTAAATCGAAGCTGTTGCTGTGCGCGAGGAAGCGAGCACTCCAACACGATCGATGGACGTAACGGCTAACAAAGCACCGCGATGGTTTGAAAAGAGTCGTCAGCGTCAGTAACGTGCCAATACGATGCGTTCGCATTCGACACTGCAATAATAGCACTTGTGTGTGGGTGCACGCAGCTCGTGCAGTCGGCGGAACATGAGGACGTGAAAAGCGGTGAGCGTGGCCTTGTGGTCTAGTGGTATGATTCTCGCTTAGGGTGCGAGAGGTCCCGGACTCGATCTCCGGCAAGGCCCAGCCCGTCACCGATCATGCAAGGAGAGTATTTTCATCTCGCTTTATGGCTTCTAAACAACAGCAAATGATCTTTCTTGCACAACAGAGGAACGGGACAAGTTTAAACCAAAGCTGTTGCTGTGCGCGAGAAAGCGAGCACTCGAACAAGATCGATGGACGTAACGGCTTACAAAGCACCGCAATGGTTTGAAAAGAGTCGTCAGCGTCAGTAACGTGCCAATGCGATGCGTTCGCATTCGACACTGCAATAATAGCACTGTGTGTGTGGGTGCACGCAGCTCGTGCAGTCGGCGGAACATGAGGACGTGAAAAGCGGTGAGTGTGGCCTTGTGGTCTAGTGGTATGATTCTCGCTTAGGGTGCGAGAGGTCCCGGACTCGATCTCCGGCAAGGCCCAGCCCTGTCACCGATCATGCAAGAAGAGTATTTGCATCTCGCTTTATGGCTTCTAGACAACAGCAAATGATCTTTCTTGCACAACAGAGGACCGGGACAAGCATGAACCGAAGTTGTTGCTGTGCGCGAGGAAGCGAGCACTCCAACACGATCGATGGACTTAACGGCTAACAAAGCACCGCGATGGTTTGAAAAGAGTCGTCAGCGTCAGTAACGTGCCAATGCGATGCGTTCGCATTCGACACTGCAATAATAGCACTTGTGTGTGGGTGCACGCAGCTCGTGCAGTCGGCGGAACATGTGGACGTGAAAAGCGGTGAGCGTGGCCTTGTGGTCTAGTGGTATGATTCTCGCTTAGGGTGCGAGAGGTCCCGGACTCGATCTCCGGCAAGGCCCAGCCTGTCACCGATCATGCAAGAAGAGTATTTGCATCTCGCTTTATGGCTTCTAGACAACAGCAAATGATCTTTCTTGCACAACAGAGGACCGGGACAAGTTTAAAACGAAAGCTGTTGCTGTGCGCGAGGAAGCGAGCACTCCAACAAGATCGATGGACGTAACGGCTTACAAAGCACCGCAATGGTTTGAAAAAGAGTCGTCAGCGTCAGTAACGTGCCAATGCGATGCGTTTCGCATTCGACACTGCAATAATAGCACTTGTGTGTGGGTGCACGCAGCTCGTGCAGTCGGCGGAACATGAGGACGTGAAAGCGGTGAGCGTGGCCTTGTGGTCTAGTGGTATGATTCTCGCTTAGGGTGCGAGAGGTCCCGGACTCGATCTCCGGCAAGGCCCAGCCTGTCACCGATCATGCAAGGAAGAGTATTTGCATCTCACTTCATGGCTTCTAGACAACAGTAAATGATCTTTCTTGCACAACAGAGGAACGGGACAAGTTTAAATCGAAGCTGTTGCTGTGCGCGAGGAAGCGAGCACTCCAACAAGATCGATGGACGTAACAGCTTACAAAGCACCGCGATGGTTTGAAAAGAGTCGTCAGCGTCAGTAACGTGCCAATGCGATGCGTTCGCATTCGACACTGCAATAATAGCACTTGTGTGTGGGTGCACGCAGCTCGTGCAGTCGCTGCGAACATGAGGACGTGAAAAGCGGTGAGCGTGGCCTTGTGGTCTAGTGGTATGATTCTCGCTTAGGGTGCGAGAGGTCCCGTACTCGATCTCCGGCAAGGCCCAGCCTGTCACCGATCATGCAGGAAGAGTATTTTGCATCTCGCTTTATGGCTTCTAAACAACAGCAAATGATCTTTCTTGCACAACAGAGGACCGGGACAAGTTTAAATCGAAGCTGTTGCTGTGCGCGAGGAAAGCGAGCACTCCAACAAGATCGATGGACGTAACGGCTTACAAAGCACCGCGATGGTTTGAAAAGAGTCGTCAGCGTCAGTAACGTGCCAATACGATGCGTTCGCATTCGACACTGCAATAATAGCACTTGTGTGTGGGTGCACAGCTCGTGCAGTCGCTGGAACATGAGGACGTGAAAAGCGGTGAGCGTGGCCTTGTGGTCTAGTGGTATGATTCTCGCTTAGGGTGCGAGAGGTCCCGGACTCGATCTCCGGCAAGGCCCAGCCGTCACCGATCATGCGGGAAGAGTATTTGCATCTCGCTTTATGGCTTCTAAACAACAGCAAATGATCTTTCTTGCACAACAGAGGACCGGGACAAGTTTAAATCGAAGCTGTTGCTGTGCGCGAGGAAGCGAGCACTCCAACACGATCGATGGACGTAACGGCTAACAAAGCACCGCGATGGTTTGAAAAGAGTCGTCAGTGTCAGTAACGTGCCAATACGATGCGTTCGCATTCGACACTGCAATAATAGCACTTGTGTGTGGGTGCACGCAGCTCGTGCAGTCGGCGGAACATGAGGACGTGAAAAGCGGTGAGCGTGGCCTTGTAGTCTAGTGGTATGATTCTCGCTTAGGGTGCGAGAGGTCCTGGATTCGATCTCCTGCAAGGCCCAGCCTGTCACCGATCATGCAAGAAGAGTATTTGCATCTCGCTTTATGGCTTCCTAAACAACAGCAAATGATCTTTCTTGCACAACAGAGGACCGGGACAAGTTTTAATCGAAGCTGTTGCTGTGCGCGAGGAAGCGAGCACTCCAACACGATCGATGGACGTAACGGCTTACAAAGCACCGCGATGGTTTGAAAAGAGTCGTCAGCGTCAGTAACGTGCCAATACGATGCGTTCGCATTCGACACTGCAATAATAGCACTTGTGTGTGGGTGCACACAGCTCGTGCAGTCGGCGGAACATGAGGACGTGAAAAGCGGTGAGCGTGGCCTTGTGGTCTAGTGGTATGATTCTCGCTTAGGGTGCGAGAGGTCCCGGACTCGATCTCCGGCAAGGCCCAGCCTGTCACCGATCATGCGAGAAGAGTATTTGCATCTCGCTTTATGGCTTCTAAACAACAGCAAATGATCTTTCTTGCACAACAGAGGACCGGGACAAGTTTAAATCGAAGCTGTTGCTGTGCGCGAGGAAGCGAGCACTCCAACACGATCGATGGACGTAACGGCTTACAAAGCACCGCGATGGTTTGAAAAAGAGTCGTCAGCGTCAGTAACGTGCCAATACGATGCGTTCGCATTCGACACTGCAATAATAGCACGTGTGTGTGGGTGCACGCAGCTCGTGCAGTCGGTGGAACATGAGGACGTGAAAAGCGGTTAGCGTGGCCTTGTGGTCTAGTGGTATGATTCTCGCTTAGGGTGCGAGAGGTCCCGTACTCGATCTCCGGCAAGGCCCAGCCGTCACCGATCATGCGAGAAGAGTATTTGCATCTCGCTTTATGGCTTCTAAACAATAGCAAATGATCTTTCTTGCACAACAGAGGACCGGGACAAGTTTAAATCGAAGCTGTTGCTGTGCGCGAGGAAGCGAGCACTCCAACACGATCGATGGACGTAACGGCTTACAAAGCACCGCGATGGTTTGAAAAGAGTCGTCAGCGTCAGTAACGTGCCAATACGATGCGTTCGCAGTTCGACACTGCAATAATAGCACTTGTGTGGGTGCACGCAGCCCCGTGCAAGTCGCCGGAACATGAGGACGTGAAAAGCGGTGAGCGTGGCCTTGTGGTCTAGTGGTATGATTCTCGCTTAGGGTGCGAGAGGTCCCGGACTCGATCTCCGGCAAGGCCCAGCCTGTCACCGATCATGCAAGAAGAGTATTTGCATCTCGCTTTTATGGCTTCTAAACAACAGCAAATGATCTTTCTTGCACAACAGAGGACCGGGACAAGTTTAAATCGAAGCTGTTGCTGTGCGCGAGGAAGCGAAAGCACTCCAACACGATCGATGGACGTAACGGCTAACAAAGCACCGCAATGGTTTGAAAAGAGTCGTCAGCGTCAGTAACGTGCCAATACGATGCGTTCGCATTCGACACTGCAATAATAGCACTTGTGTGTGGGTGCACGCAGCTCGTGCAGTCGGCGGAACATGAGGACGTGAAAAGCGGTGAGCGTGGCCTTGTGGTCTAGTGGTATGATTCTCGCTTAGGGTGCGAGAGAGGTCCCGTACTCGATCTCCGGCAAGGCCCAGCCTGTCACCGATCATGCAAGAAGATTATTTGCATCTCGCTTTATGGCTTCTAAACAACAGCAAATGATCTTTCTTGCACAACAGAGGACCGGGACAAGTTTAAATCGAAGCTGTTGCTGTGCGCGAGGAAGCGAGCACTCCAACACGATCGATGGACGTAACGGCTTACAAAGCACCGCGATGGTTTGAAAAGAGTCGTCAGCGTCAGTAACGTGCCAATACGATGCGTTCGCATTCGACACTGCAATAATAGCACTTGTGTGTGGGTGCACGCAGCTCGTGCAGTCGCTGGAACATGAGGACGTGAAAAGCGGTTAGCGTGGCCTTGTGGTCTAGTGGTATAATTCTCGCTTAGGGTGCGAGAGGACCCGTACTCGATCTCCGGCAAGGCCCAGCCGTCACCGATCATGCGGGAAGAGTATTTGCATCTCGCTTTATGGCTTCTAAACAACAGCAAATGATCTTTCTTGCACAACAGAGGACCGGGACAAGTTTAAATCGAAGCTGTTGCTGTGCGCGAGGAAGCGAGCACTCCAACACGATCGATGGACGTAACGGCTTACAAAGCACCGCGATGGTTTGAAAAGAGTCGTCAGTGTCAGTAACGTGCCAATACGATGCGTTCGCATTCGACACTGCAATAATAGCACTTGTGTGTGGGTGCACGCAGCTCGTGCAGTCGGCGGAACATGAGGACGTGAAAAGCGGTGAGCGTGGCCTTGTGGTCTAGTGGTATGATTCTCGCTTAGGGTGCGAGAGGTCCCGGATTCGATCTCCGGCAAGGCCCAGCCCGTCACCGATCATGCGGGAAGAGTATTTGCATCTCGCTTTATGGCTTCTAAACAACAGCAAATGATCTTTCTTGCACAACAGAGGACCGGGACAAGTTTAAATCGAAGCTGTTGCTGTGCGCGAGGAAGCGAGCACTCCAACACGATCGATGGACGTAACGGCTAACAAAGCACCGCGATGGTTTGAAAAGAGTCGTCAGCGTCAGTAACGTGCCAATACGATGCGTTCGCATTCGACACTGCAATAATAGCACTTGTGTGTGGGTGCACGCAGCTCGTGCAGTCGGCGGAACATGAGGACGTGAAAAGCGGTGAGCGTGGCCTTGTGGTCTAGTGGTATGATTCTCGCTTAGGGTGCGAGAGGTCCCGGACTCGATCTCCGGCAAGGCCCAGCCCGTTACCGATCATGCGGGAAGAGTATTTGCATCTCGCTTTATGGCTTCTAGACAACAGCAAATGATTTTTCTTGCACAACAGAGGACCGGGACAAGCATGAACCGAAGTTGTTGCTGTGCGCGAGGAAGCGAGCACTCCAACACGATCGATGGACGTAACGGCTAACAAAGCACCGCGATGGTTTGAAAAGAGTCGTCAGCGTCAGTAACGTGCCAATACGATGCGTTCGCATTCGACACTGCAATAATAGCACTTGTGTGTGGGTGCACGCAGCTCGTGCAGTCGCTGGAACATGAGGACGTGAAAAGCGGTGAGCGTGGCCTTGTGGTCTAGTGGTATAATTCTCGCTTAGGGTGCGAGAGGTCCCGGATTCGATCTCCGGCAAGGCCCAGCCTGTCACCGATCATGCAAAGAAGAGTATTTGCATCTCGCTTTATGGCTTCTAAACAACAGCAAATGATCTTTCTTGCACAACAGAGGACCGGGACAAGTTTAAATCGAAGCTGTTGCTGTGCGCGAGGAAGCGAGCACTCCAACAAGATCGATGGACGTAACGGCCTACAAAGCACCGCGATGGTTTGAAAAGAGTCGTCAGCGTCAGTAACGTGCCAATGCGATGCGTTTGCATTCGACACTGCAATAATAGCACTTGTGTGTGGGTGCACGCAGCTCGTGCAGTCGGTGGAACATGAGGACGTGAAAAGCGGTGAGCGTGGGCCTTGTGGTCTAGTGGTATGATTCTCAGCTAGGGTGCGAGAGGTCCCCCGTATTCGATCTCCGGCAAGGCCCAGCCTGTCACCGATCATGCAAGGTAAAGATTATTTGCATCTCTCCTTTATGGCTTCTGGAACAATAGCAAATGATCTTCCTTGCACAACAGAGGACCGGGACAAGTTTAGAAATCGAAGTTGCTGCTGCGCGCGAGGAAGAGCACTCCAACACGATTGATGGACGTAACGGCTTACAAAGCACCGCGGATGGTTTGAAAAGAGTCTTCAGCGTCATTAAAGGGCACACGATGCGTTCGCATTCGACACTGCAGTAAGTACGCACTTGTGTGTGCGTGGCATGCCAGCGCGTGCAGTCGGTGAACAGGTGGACGTGAAAAGCGGTGAGCATGGCCTTGAGGTCTAGTGGCAGGATTCTCGCTTAGGGTGCGAGAGGTCCAGGATCCGATCTCCGGCCAGGCCCAGCCTGTCGCCGATCATGCAAGAGAGTGTTTGCATCTCACTTCATGGCTTCTGGACAACAGTAAATGATCTTTCTTGCACAATAGAGGAATGAACAAGTTTAAATCGAAGCTGTTGCTGTGCGCGAGGAAGCGAGCACTCCAACACGATCGATGGACGTAACGGCTTACAAAGTACCGCAATGGTTTGAAAAGAGTCGTCAGCTTCGATAAAAGTGGACAATACGATGCGTTTGCATTCGACATTGCAGTATTAGCACGTGGGTGCGGGTGCAATGGTAGCGCGCGCAGTCGGCGGAACATGTGGACGTGGAAAAGCGGCAGAGCGCGGGCCTTGTGGTCTAGTTGTATGATTCTCGCTTAGGGTGCGAGAGGTCCCGGATTCGATCTCCGGTTGTGGCCCAGCCCGTCGCCGATCATGCGGGGAGAGTGTTTGCATCTCACTTCACGGCTTCTTGGACAACAGTAAATGATCTTTCTTGCACACAACAGAGGAATGGGACAAGTTTAAATCGAAGCTGTTGCTATGCGCTTAGAGAAGCGAGCACTCCAACACGATCGATGGACATAACAGCTAACAAAAGCACCATGATGGTTTTGAAAGAAAAGATCTTCAGCGTCGATTAAAGAAATATATGTTACGTTAGCATTCCGACACTTTCACAATAATAGCACTTATTGTGTGGGTGCATGTGGCGCGTGCAGTCAGCGGAACGTAATATGGACGTGAAGCGGTGGGCGTGGCCTTATGGTCTAGTGGTATGATTCCTCGCTTAGGGTGCGAAAGGAGGTCGGATTCACGATCTCCAGCCAGGCCATCCATCGCCGATCATGCAGGAGTATTTGCATCTCCTTCACGGCTTCTGGACAACAGTAAATGATCTTTCTTGCACAACAAGAGGAACTGGGATAGAGTTAAATCAGAGCTGTTGCTGTGCGCGAGCCGAGCACGCTCCAACACGATCGATGGACGTAACAGCTTACAAAGCACCGCAATGGTTTGAAAAGAGTCGTCAGCGTCGAGTAAAGTGCCAATACGATGCGTTCGCATTCGACACTGCAATAATAGCACTTGTGTGTGGGTGCATGCAGCGTGCAGTCGGCGGAACATGTGGACGTGAAAAGCGGTGAGCGTGGCCTTGTGGTCTAGTGGTATGATTCTCGCTTAGGGTGCGAGAGGTCCCGGATTCGATCTCCGGCAAGGCCCAGCCTGTCACCGATCATGCGGGAAGAGTGTTTGCATCTCGCTTCATGGCTTCTAAACAACAGCAAATGATCTTTCTTGCACAACAGAGGACCGGGACAAGTTTAAATCGAAGCTGTTGCTGTGCGCGAGGAAGCGAGCACTCCAACACGATCGATGGACGTAACGGCTTACAAAGCACCGCAATGGTTTGAAAAGAGTCGTCAGCGTCAGTAAAGTGCCAATACGATGCGTTCGCATTCGACACTGCAATAATAGCACTTGTGTGTGGGTGCATGCAGCGCGTGCAGTCGGCGGAACATGTGGACGTGAAAAGCGGTGAGCGTGGCCTTGTGGTCTAGTGGTATGATTCTCGCTTAGGGTGCGAGAGGTCCCGGATTCGATCTCCGGCAAGGCCCAGCCTGTCACACCGATCATGCGGGAAGAGTGTTTGCATCTCACTTCATGGCTTCTAGACAACAGCAAATGATCTTTCTTGCACAACAGAGGACCGGGACAAGTTTAAATCGAAGCTGTTGCTGTGCGCGAGGAAGCGAGCACTCTAACACGATCGATGGACGTAACGGGCTTACAAAGCACCGCAATGGTTTGAAAAGAGTCGTCAGCGTCAGTAACGTGCCAATACGATGCGTTCGCATTCGACACTGCAATAATAGCACTTGTGTGTGGGTGCACGCAGCTCGTGCAGTCGGCGGAACATGAGGACGTGAAAAAGCGGTGAGCGTGGCTTGTGGTCTAGTGGTATGATTCTCGCTTAGGGTGCGAGAGGTCCCGGATTCGATCTCCGGCAAGGCCCAGCCTGTCACCGATCATGCGGGAAGAGTGTTTGCATCTCGCTTCATGGCTTCTAAACAACAGCAAATGATCTTTCTTGCACAACAGAGGACCGGGACAAGTTTAAATCGAAGCTGTTGCTGTGCGCGAGGAAGCGCGAGCACTCCAACACGATCGATGGACGTAACGGCTTACAAAGCACCGCAATGGTTTGAAAAGAGTCGTCAGCGTCAGTAACGTGCCAATACGATGCGTTCGCATTCGACACTGCAATAATAGCACGAGTGTGTGGGTGCATGTAAGCGCTTGCCAGTCAGCGGAACATGTACGGACGTGGAAAAAGCAGTGAGCGTGGCCTTGTGGGTCTAGTGGTATGATTCTCGCTTAGGGTGCGAGAGGTCCCGGATCGATCTCCGGCAAGGCCCCCCAATCACACCGATCATGTGGGAAATATTTGCATCTCGCTTCATGGCTTCTGGACAACAGCAAATGATCTTTCTTGCACAACAGAAGGACCAGGACAAGTTTAAATCGAAGCTGTTGCTGTGCGCGAGGAAGCGAGCACTCCAACACGATCGATGGACGTAACGGCTAACAAAGCACCGCGATGGTTTGAAAAGAGTCGTCAGTGTCAGTAACGTGCCAATACGATGCGTTCGCATTCGACACTGCAATAATAGCACTTGTGTGTGGGTGCGTGCAGCGCGTGCAGTCGGCGGAACATGTGGACGTGAAAAGCGGTGAGCGTGGCCTTGTGGTCTAGTGGTATGATTCTCGATTAGGGTGCGAGAGGTCCCGGACTCGATCTCCGGCAAGGCCCAGCCAAATCACCGATCATGCGGGAAGAGTATTTGCATCTCGCTTTATGGCTTCTAGACAACAGCAAATGATCTTTCTTGCACAACAGAGGACCGGGACAAGTTTAAATCGAAGCTGTTGCTGTGCGCGAGGAAGCGAGCACTCAACAAGATCGATGGACGTAACGGCTTACAAGAAAGCACCGCGATGGTTTGAAAAGAGTCGTCAGCATCCAGTAACATTCCAATACGATGCGTTCGCATTCGACACTGCAATAATAGCACATGTGTGTGGGTGCACGTAGCGCGTGCAGTCAGCCGGAACATGAGGACGTGAAAAGCGGTGAGCGTGGCCTCGTGGTCTAATGGTATGATTCTCGATTAGGGTGCGAGAGGTCCCGTACTCGATCTCCGGCAAGGCCCAGCCTGTCACCGATCATGCGGGAAGAGTATTTGCATCTCACTTTATGGCTTCCACGGGCAACAGCAAATGATCTTTTCTTGCACATCAGAGGACAGGACAAGTTTTAAATCGAAGCTGTTGCTGTGCGCGAGGAAGCGAGCACTCCAACACGATCGATGGACGTAACGGCTTACAAAGCACCGCAATGGTTTGAAAAGAGTCGTCAGCGTCAGTAACGTGCCAATACGATGCGTTCGCATTCGACACTGCAATAATAGCACTGTGTGTGGGTGCACGCAGCTCGTGCAGTCGGCGGGAACATGAGGACGTGAAAAGCGGTGAGAGCGTGGCCTTGTGGTCTAGTGGTATGATTCTCGCTTAGGGTGCGAGAGGTCCCGGATTCGATCTCCGGCAAGGCCCAGCCTGTCACCGATCATGCGGGAAGAGTATTTGCATCTCGCTTTATGGCTTCTAGGACAACAGCAAATGATCTTTCTTGCACAACAGAGGACCGGGACAAGTTTAAATCGAAGCTGTTGCTGTGCGCGAGGAAGCGAGCACTCCAACAAGATCGATGGACGTAACGGCTTACAAAGCACCGCAATGGTTTGAAAAGAGTCGTCAGCGTCAGTAACGTGCCAATGCGATGCGTTCGCATTCGACACTGCAATAATAGCACTTGTGTGTGGGTGCACGCAGCTCGTGCAGTCGGCGGAACATGAGGACGTGAAGAGCGGTGAGCGTGGCCTTGTGGTCTAGTGGTATGATTCTCGCTTAGGGTGCGAGAGGTCCCGGATTCGATCTCCGGCAAGGCCCAGCCTGTCACCGATCATGCGGGAAGAGTATTTGCATCTCGCTTTATGGCTTCTAAACAACAGCAAATGATCTTTCTTGCACAACAGAGGACCGGGACAAGTTTAAATCGAAGCTGTTGCTGTGCGCGAGGAAGCGAGCACTCCAACAAGATCGATGGACGTAACGGCTTACAAAGCACCGCAATGGTTTGAAAAGAGTCGTCAGTGTCAGTAACGTGCCAATACGATGCGTTCGCATTCGACACTGCAATAATAGCACTTGTGTGTGGGTGCACGCAGCGTGCAGTCGGCGGAACATGTGGACGTGAAAAGCGGTGAGCGTGGCCTTGTGGTCTAGTGGTATGATTCTCGCTTAGGGTGCGAGAGGTCCCGGACTCGATCTCGGGCAAGGCCCAGCATGTCACCGATCATGCGGGAAGAGTATTTGCATCTCGCTTTATGGCTTCTAAACAACAGCAAATGATCTTTCTTGCACAACAGAGGACCGGGACAAGTTTAAATCGAAGCTGTTGCTGTGCGCGAGGAAGCGAGCACTCTAACACGATCGATGGACGTAACGGCTTACAAAGCACCGCAGTGGTTTGAAAAGAGTCGTCAGCGTCAGTAAAGTGCCAATACGATGCGTTCGCATTCGACACTGCAATAATAGCACTTGTGTGTGGGGTGCATGCAGCTCGTGCAGTCGGCGGAACATGAGGACGTGAAAAGCGGTGAGCGTGGCCTTGTGGTCTAGTGGTATGATTCTCGCTTAGGGTGCGAGAGGTCCCGGACTCGATCTCCGGCAAAGGCCCAGCCTGTCACCGATCATGCGGGAAGAGTATTTGCATCTCGCTTTATGGCTTCTAAACAACAGCAAATGATCTTTCTTGCACAACAGAGGACCGGGACAAGTTTAAATCGAAAGCTGTTGCTGTGCGCGAGGAAGCGAGCACTCCAACACGATCGATGGACGTAACGGCTTACAAAGCACCGCAATGGTTTGAAAAGAGTCGTCAGTGTCAGTAACGTGCCAATACGATGCGTTCGCATTCGACACTGCAATAATAGCACTTGTGTGTGGGTGCATGCAGCGCGTGCAGTCGGCGGAACATGTGGACGTGAAAAGCGGTGAGCGTGGCCTTGTGGTCTAGTGGTATGATTCTCGCTTAGGGTGCGAGAGGTCCCGGATTCGATCTCCGGCAAGGCCCAGCCTGTCACCGATCATGCGGGAAGAGTATTTGCATCTCGCTTTATGGCTTCTAGACAACAGCAAATGATCTTTTCTTGCACAACAGAGGACCGGGACAAGTTTAAATCGAAGCTGTTGCTGTGCGCGAGGAAGCGAGCACTCTAACACGATCGATGGACGTAACGGCTTACAAAGCACCGCAATGGTTTGAAAAGAGTCGTCAGTGCCTCTTCAGTAACGTGCCAATACGATGCGTTCGCATCTGACACTGCAATAATACCACTTGTGTGGGTGCATGCAGCCCGTGCAGTCGCTGGAACATGAGGATTTGAAATGCGGTGAGCGTGGCCTTGTGGTCTAGTGGTATGATTCTCGCTTAGGGTGCGAGAGGACCCGTACTCGATCTCCGGCAAGGCCCAGCCCGTTACCGATCATGCGGGAAGAGTATTTGCATCTCGCTTTATGGCTTCTAGACAACAGCAAATGATTTTTTTTTTTACAACAGAGGTCCGGGACAAGCATGAACCGAAGTTGTTGCTGTGCGCGAGGAAGCGAGCACTCCAACACGATCGATGGACGTAACGGCTTACAAAGCACCGCGATGGTTTGAAAAGAGTCGTCAGTGTCAGTAACGTGCCAATACGATGCGTTCGCATTCGACACTGCAATAATAGCACTTGTGTGTGGGTGCACGCAGCTCGTGCAGTCGGCGGAACATGAGGACGTGAAAAGCGGTTAGCGTGGCCTTGTGGTCTAGTGGTATGATTCTCGCTTAGGGTGCGAGAGGTCCCGTACTCGATCTCCGGCAAGGCCCAGCCTGTCACTGATCATGCGGGAAGAGTATTTGCATCTCGCTTTATGGCTTCTAAACAACAGCAAAATGATCTTGCTTGCACAACAGAGGACCGGACAAGTTTAAATCGAAGCTGTTGCTGTGCGCGAGGAAGCGAGCACTCCAACACGATCGATGGACGTAACGGCTAACAAAGCACCGCGATGGTTTGAAAAGAGTCGTCAGCGTCAGTAACGTGCCAATACGATGCGTTCGCATTCGACACTGCAATAATAGCACTAGTGTGTGGTGCACGCAGCCCGTGCAGTCGGCGGAATATGAGGACGTGAAAAGCGGTGAGTGTGGCCTTGTGGTCTAGTGGTATAATTCTCGCTTAGGGTGCGAGAGGACCCGGACTCGATCTCCGGCAAGGCCCAGCCTGTCACCGATCATGCGGGAAGAGTATTTGCATCTCGCTTTATGGCTTCTAAACAATAGCAAATGATCTTTCTTGCACAACAGAGGACCGGGACAAGTTTAAATCGAAGCTGTTGCTGTGCGCGAGGAAGCGAGCACTCCAACAAGATCGATGGACGTAACGGCTTACAAAGCACCGCGATGGTTTGAAAAGAGTCGTCAGTGTCAGTAACGTGCCAATACGATGCGTTCGCATTCGACACTGCAATAATAGCACTTGTGTGTGGGTGCACGCAGCTCGTGCAGTCGGCGGAACATGAGGACGTGAAAAGCGGTGAGCGTGGCCTTGTGGTCTAGTGGTATGATTCCTCGCTTAGGGTGCGAGAGGACCCGGACTCGATCTCCGGTAAGGCCCAGCCTGTCACCGATCATGCAAGAAGAGTATTTGCATCTCGCTTTATGGCTTCTAAACAACAGCAAATGATCTTTCTTGCACAACAGAGGACCGGGACAAGTTTAAATCGAAGCTGCTGCTGTGCGCGAGGAAGCGAGCACTCCAACACGATCGATGGACGTAACGGCTAACAAAGCACCACGCGATGGTTTGAAAAGAGTCGTCAGCGGTCAGTAACGTGCCAATACGATGCGTTCGCATTCGACACTGCAATAAGTACTTAAATTGTGTGTGGGTGCACGCAGCTCATGCAGTCGCTGGAAACATGAGAGACGTAGAAAAGCGGTTAGCGTGGCCTTGTGGTCCAGTGAAAGGATTCCCTCGCTTAGGCTGCGAGAGGTCCCGGACTCGATCCTCCGGCAAGGCCCAGCCCGTTACCGATCATGTGGGAATAGTATTTGTATCTCGCCTTATGGCTTCTAAACAACAGCAAATGATCGCGTTTCTTGCACAAACAGAGGACCGGGTCAAGTTAAAATCGAAGTTGTTGCTGTGCGCGAGGAAGCGAGCACTCCAACACGATCGATGGACGTAACGGCTAACAAAGCAATGCGATGGATTTGAAAAGAGTCGTCAGCGCCAGGTAACGTGCCAATACGATGCGTCCGCATTCGACACCGCAATAATAGCACTTGTGTGTAAAGTGCACGCAGCCCTCGTGCAATCGGCGGAACATGAGGACGTGGAAAAGCGGTTAGCGTGGCCTTGTGGTCTAGTGGTATAATTCTCGCTTAGGGTGCGAGAGGACCCGGACTCGATCTCCGGCAAGGCCCAGCCTGTTACCGGATCATGCGGGAAGAGTATTTGTGCATCTCGCTTTGGCTTCTAAACAACAGCAAATGATTTTTCTTGCACAACAGAGGACCGGGACAAGTTTAAATCGAAGCTGTTGCTGTGCGCGAGAAAGCGAGCACTCCAACACGATCGATGGACGTAACGGCTTACAAAGCACCGCGATGGTTTGAAAAAGAGTCGTCAGTGTCAGTAACGTGCCAATACGATGCGTTCGCATTCGACACTGCAATAATAGCATTTGTGTGTGGTGCACGCAGCTCGTGTAGTCGGCGGAACATGAGGACGTGAAAAGCGGTTAGCGTGGCCTTGTGGTCTAGTGGTATGATTCTCGCTTTAGGGTGCGAGAGGACCCGGTACTCGATCTCCGGCAAGGCCCAGCCCGTCACCGATCATGCGGGAAGAGTATTTGCATCTCGCTTTATGGCTCTCTAAACAACAGCAAATGATCTTTCTTGCACAACAGAGGACCGGGACAAGTTTAAATCGAAGCTGTTGCTGTGCGCGAGGAAGCGAGCACTCCAACACGATCGATGGACGTAACGGCTAACAAAGCACCGCGATGGTTTGAAAAGAGTCGTCAGCGTCAGTAACGTGCCAATACGATGCCTTCGCATTCGACACCGCAATAATAGCACTTGTGTGTGGGTGCACGCAGCTCGTGCAGTCGGCGGAACATGAGGACGTGAAAAGCGGTGAGCGTGGCCTTGTGGTCTAGTGGTATGATTCTCGCTTAGGGTGCGAGAGGTCCCGTACTCGATCTCCGGCAAGGCCCAGCCCGTTACCGATCATGCGGGAAGAGTATTTGCATCTCGCTTTATGGCTTCTAGACAACAGCAAATGATTTTTCTTGCACAACAGAGGACCGGGACAAGCATGAACCGAAGTTGTTGCTGTGCGCGAGGAAGCGAGCACTCCAACACGATCGATGGACGTAACGGCTAACAAAGCACCGCGATGGTTTGAAAAGAGTCGTCAGCGTCAGTAACGTGCCAATACGATGCGTTCGCATTCGACACTGCAATAATAGCACTTGTGTGTGGGTGCACGCAGCTCGTGCAGTCGCTGGAACATGAGGACGTGAAAAGCGGTTAGCGTGGCCTTGTGGTCTAGTGGTATAATTCTCGCTTAGGGTGCGAGAGGACCCGGACTCGATCTCCGGCAAGGCCCAGCCTGTCACCGATCATGCAAGGAGAGTATTTTCATCTCGCTTTATGGCTTCTAAACAACAGCAAATGATCTTTCTTGCACAACAGAGGACCGGGACAAGTTTAAATCGAAGCTGTTGCTGTGCGCGAGAAAGCGAGCACTCGAACAAGATCGATGGACGTAACGGCTTACAAAGCACCGCAATGGTTTGAAAAGAGTCGTCAGCGTCAGTAACGTGCCAATGCGATGCGTTCGCATTCGACACTGCAATAATAGCACGAGTGTGTGGGTGCACGCAGCTCGTGTAGTCGGCGGAACATGAGGACGTGAAAAGCGGTGAGTGTGGCCTTGTGGTCTAGTGGTATGATTCTCGCTTAGGGTGCGAGAGGTCCCGTACTCGATCTCCGGCAAGGCCCAGCCCGTTACCGATCATGCGGGAAGAGTATTTGCATCTCGCTTTATGGCTTCTAGACAACAGCAAATGATTTTTCTTGCACAACAGAGGACCGGGACAAGCATGAACCGAAGTTGTTGCTGTGCGCGAGGAAGCGAGCACTCCAACACGATCGATGGACGTAACGGCTTACAAAGCACCGCGATGGTTTGAAAAGAGTCGTCAGTGTCAGTAACGTGCCAATACGATGCGTTCGCATTCGACACTGCAATAATAGCACTTGTGTGTGGGTGCACGCAGCTCGTGCAGTCGGCGGAACATGAGGACGTGAAAAGCGGTTAGCGTGGCCTTGTGGTCTAGTGGTATGATTCTCGCTTAGGGTGCGAGAGGTCCCGTACTCGATCTCCGGCAAGGCCCAGCCGTCACCGATCATGCGGGAAGAGTATTTGCATCTCGCTTTATGGCTTCTAAACAACAGCAAATGATCTTGCTTGCACAACAGAGGACCGGGACAAGTTTAAATCGAAGCTGTTGCTGTGCGCGAGGAAGCGAGCACTCCAACACGATCGATGGACGTAACGGCTAACAAAGCACCGCGATGGTTTGAAAAGAGTCGTCAGCGTCAGTAACGTGCCAATACGATGCGTTCGCATTCGACACTGCAATAATAGCACTTGTGTGTGGGTGCACGCAGCTCGTGCAGTCGCTGGAACATGAGGACGTGAAAAGCGGTTAGCGTGGCCTTGTGGTCTAGTGGTATAATTCTCGCTTAGGGTGCGAGAGGACCCGGACTCGATCTCCGGCAAGGCCCAGCCTGTCACCGATCATGCAAGAAGAGTTATTTGCATCTCGCTTTATGGCTTCTAAACAACAGCAAATGATCTTTCTTGCACAACAGAGGACCGGGACAAGTTTTAATCGAAGCTGTTGCTGTGCGCGAGGAAGCGAGCACTCCAACAAGATCGATGGACGTAACGGCTTACAAAGCACCGCAATGGTTTGAAAAGAGTCGTCAGCGTCAGTAACGTGCCAATGCGATGCGTTCGCATTCGACACTGCAATAATAGCACTTGTGTGTGGGTGCACGCAGCTCGTGCAGTCGGCGGAACATGAGGACGTGAAAAGCGGTTAGCGTGGCCTTGTGGTCTAGTGGTATAATTCTCGCTTAGGGTGCGAGAGGACCCGGACTCGATCTCCGGCAAGGCCCAGCCTGTCACCGATCATGCAAGAAGATTATTTGCATCTCGCTTTATGGCTTCTAAACAATAGCAAATGATCTTTCTTGCACAACAGAGGACCGGGACAAGTTTAAATCGAAGCTGTTGCTGTGCGCGAGGAAGCGAGCACTCCAACACGATCGATGGACGTAACGGCTAACAAAGCACCGCGATGGTTTGAAAAGAGTCGTCAGCGTCAGTAACGTGCCAATACGATGCGTTCGCATTCGACACTGCAATAATAGCACTTGTGTGTGGGTGCACGCAGCTCGTGCAGTCGGCGGAACATGAGGACGTGAAAAGCGGTTAGCGTGGCCTTGTGGTCTAGTGGTATGATTCTCGCTTAGGGTGCGAGAGGTCCCGGACTCGATCTCCGGCAAGGCCCAGCCTGTCACCGATCATGCAGGAAGAGTATTTGCATCTCGCTTTATGGCTTCTAAACAACAGCAAATGATCTTTCTTGCACAACAGAGGACCGGGACAAGTTTAAACCGAAGCTGTTGCTGTGCGCGAGGAAGCGAGCACTCCAACACGATCGATGGACTTAACGGCTAACAAAGCACTGCGATGGTTTGAAAAGAGTCGTCAGCGTCAGTAACGTGCCAATACGATGCGTTCGCATTCGACACTGCAATAATAGCACTTGTGTGTGGGTGCACGCAGCTCGTGCAGTCGGCGGAACATGTGGACGTGAAAAGCGGTTAGCGTGGCCTTGTGGTCTAGTGGTATGATTCTCGCTTAGGGTGCGAGAGGTCCCGGACTCGATCTCCGGCAAGGCCCAGCCCGTCACCGATCATGCAAGGAGAGTATTTGCATCTCGCTTTATGGCTTCTAAACAACAGCAAATGATCTTTCTTGCACAACAGAGGACCGGGACAAGTTTAAATCGAAGCTGTTGCTGTGCGCGAGGAAGCGAGCACTCAACACGATCGATGGACGTAACGGCTAACAAAGCACCGCGATGGTTTGAAAAGAGTCGTCAGCGTCAGTAACGTGCCAATGCGATGCGTTCGCATTCGACACTGCAATAATAGCACGAGTGTGTGGGTGCACGCAGCTCGTGCAGTCGGCGGAACATGAGGACGTGAAAAGCGGTTAGCGTGGCCTTGTGGTCTAGTGGTATGATTCTCGCTTAGGGTGCGAGAGGTCCCGGACTCGATCTCCGGCAAGGCCCAGCCCGTCACCGATCATGCAAGGAGAGTATTTTCATCTCGCTTTATGGCTTCTAAACAACAGCAAATGATCTTTCTTGCACAACAGAGGACCGGGACAAGTTTAAACCGAAGCTGTTGCTGTGCGCGAGGAAGCGAGCACTCCAACACGATCGATGGACGTAACGGCTAACAAAGCACCGCGATGGTTTGAAAAGAGTCGTCAGCGTCAGTAACGTGCCAATACGATGCGTTCGCATTCGACACTGCTAATAATAGCACTTGTGTGTGGGTGCACGCAGCTCGTGCAGTCGGCGGAACATGAGGACGTGAAAAGCGGTTAGCGTGGCCTTGTGGTCTAGTGGTATGATTCTCGCTTAGGGTGCGAGAGGTCCCGGATTCGATCTCCGGCAAGGCCCAGCCCGTCACCGATCATGCGGGAAGAGTATTTGCATCTCGCTTTATGGCTTCTAAACAACAGCCAAATGATCTTTCTTGCACAACAGAGGACCGGGACAAGTTTAAATCGAAGCTGTTGCTGTGCGCGAGGAAGCGAGCACTCCAACACGATCGATGGACGTAACGGCTAACAAAGCACCGCAATGGTTTGAAAAGAGTCGTCAGCGTCAGTAAGCGTGCCAATACGATGCGTTCGCATTCGACACTGCAATAATAGCACTTGTGTGTGGAGTGCACGCAGCGCGTGCAGTCGGCGGAACATGTGGACGTGAAAAGCGGTGCGTGGCCTTGTGGTCTAGTGGTATGATTCTCGCTTAGGGTGCGAGAGGTCCCGGATTCGATCTCCGGCAAGGCCCAGCCTGTCACCGATCATGTGGGAAGAGTATTTGCATCTCACTTTGTGGCTTCAAAACAACAGGCAAACGATCTTTCTTGCACAACAGAGGACCGGGACAAGTTTAAACCGAAGCTGTTGTTGCTGTGCGCGAGAAGTGGAGCACTCCAACACGATCGATGGACCTAACGGCCATACAAAGCACCGCGAATGGTTTGAAAAAGAGTCGTCAGCGTCAGTAACGTGCCAACGCGATGCGTCTGCATTCGACACTGCGAATAATAGCACTTCGAGCGTGGGTGCACGCAGCCCGGCAGTCGGCGGAACATGAGGACGTGAAAAGTGGTCAGCGTGGCCTTGTGGTCTAGTGGCATGATTCTCGCTTAGGGTGCGAGAGGTCCCGACTTGATCTCCCCCGGCAAGGCCCAGCCCGTCACTGATCATGCAAGGAGAGTATTTTCATCTCGCTTTATGGCTTACTAAACAACAGCAAATGATCTTTCTCGCACAACAGAGGACCGGACAAGTTTAAAACCAAGCTGTCGCTGTGCGCGAGGAAGCGAGCACTCCAACACGATCGATGGACGTAACGGCCAACAAAGCACCGCGATGGTTTGAAAAGAGTCGTCAGCGTCAGTAACGTGCCAATGCGATGCGTTCGCATTCGACACTGCAATAATAGCAATTGTGTCTGGGTGCGCGCAGCCCGTGCAGTCGGCGGAACATGAGGACGCGAAAAGCGGTTAGCGTGGCCTTGTGGTCTAGTGGTATGATTCTCGCTTAGGGTGCGAGAGGTCCCGGACTCGATCTCCGGCAAGGCCCAGCCTGTCACCGATCATGCAAGTAGAGTATTTGCATCTCGCTTTATGGCTTCTAAACAACAGCAAATGATCTTTCTTGCACAACAGAGTACTGGGACAAGTTTAAATCGAAGCTGTTGATGTGCAAGAGGAAGCCGAGCACTCTAACACGATCGATGGACGTAACGGCCAACAAAAGCACCGCAATGGTCTGACATAAGTCGTCAGCGTCAGAAAAGTGACAATACGATGAGTTCGCATCTGACACTGCAATAATAGCACTTGTGTGTGGGGCATGTAGCGCGTGCAGCCGGCGGAACATGGGGACGGAAAAGCGGTGAGCGTGGCCTTGTGGTCTAGTGGTATGATTCTCGCTTAGGGTGCGAGAGGTCCCGAATTCGATCTCCGGCAAGGCCCAGCCTATCACCGATCATGCGAGAAGAGTATTTGCATCTCGCTTTGTGGCGTCTAAACAACAGCAAATTGATCTTTCTTGGTACCAAAGAGGACTGGGACAAGTTTAAATTAAAGCTGTTGTTGTGCACGAGAAAGGAAGCACTAAACAAGATCGATGGACGTAACGGCTAACATAGACCCGCAATGGTTTGAAAAGAGTCGTCAGCGTCAGTAACGTGCCATCCGATGCGTCTGCATTCGACACTGCAACAATAGCACGTGGTGGGGTGCACACAGCTCGTGCAGTCGGCGGAACATGAGGACGTGAAAAGCGGTGAGCGGGCCTTGTGGTCTAGTGGGTGATTCTCGCTTAGGGGTGCGAGAGGTCCCGGACTCGATCTCCGGCAAGGCCCAGTCTGTCACCGATCTGCAACAAGAGTATTTGCATCTCGCTTTATGGCTTCTAAACAACAGCAAATGATCTTTCTTGTACAACAGAGGACCGGGACAAGTTTAAACCTAAGTTGTTGCTGTGCGCGAGAAGCGAGTACTCCAACAAGATCGATGGACGTAACGGCCAACAAAGCACCGCAATGGTTTGAAAAGAGTCGTCAGCGTCAGTAACGTGCCAATACGATGCGTTCGCATTCGACACTGCAATAATAGCACTTGTGTGTAGTGTACGCAGCCCGTGCAGTCGCGGAACATGAGGACGTGAAAAGTGGTGAGCGTGGCCTTGTGGTCTAGTAGGTATGACTCTCGATTAGGGTGCGAGAGGTCCCCACTCCGATCTCCTGGCAAGGCCCAGCCTATCACCGATGGTGCAAGAGATTATTTGCATCATCACTTTATGGCTTCTAAACAATAGCAAATGATCTTTCTTGCACAACAGAGGAACGGTACAAGTTTAAATCTTAGCTGTTGCTGTGCGCGAGAAAGCGAGTACCCCAACAAGATCGATGGACGTAACGGCTAACAAAGCACCGCGATGGTTTGAAAAGAGTCGTCAGCGTGAGTAACGTGCTAATACGATGCGTTCGCATTCGACACACTGCAATAATAGCACTTGTGTGTGGTGCACGCAGCTCGTGTCAGTCGAGCGTAATATGAGGACGTGTAAAGCGGTGAGTGTGGCCTGTGGTCTAGTGGTATAACTCTCGATTAGGGTGTGAGAGGTCCCGGACTCGATCTCCGGCAAGGCCCAGCCTGTTACTGATCATGCAAGGAGAGTATGAGCTCCCCGCTTTGTGGCTTCTAAATAATAGCAAATGACCTTCTCTTGCACAATAGAGGACTGGGATACATGTTAAATCGAAGCTGTTGCTGTGCGCGAGAAAGCGAGCACTCCAACAAGATCGATGGACGTAACGGCTTACAAGCACCGCAATGGTTTGAAAAGAGCCGCCAGCGTCAGTAACGTGCCAATACGATGCGTTCGCATTCGACACTGCAATAATAGCACTGTGTGTGGGTGCCCGCAGCTCGTGCAGTCGGCGGAATATGAGGACGTGAAAAGCGGTGAGTGTGGCCTTGTGGTCTAGTGGTATGATTCTCGATTAGGGTGCGAGAGGTCCCGTACTCGATCTCCGGCAAGGCCCAGCCTATCACTGATCATGCAAGGAGATTATTTGTATCTCGCTTTATGGCTTCTAAACAATAGCAAATGATCTTTCTTGCACAACAGAGGACCGGGACAAGTATAAATCGAAGCCGCTAGCTGTGGCGAGGAAGCGAGCACTCCAACAAGATCGATGGACGTAAAGGCTAACAAAGCACCGCGATGGTTTGAAAAGAGTCGTCAGTGTCAGTAACGTGCCAATCGATGCGTTCTGCATCTGACACTGCAATAATAGCACTTGTGTGTGGGTACACGCAGCCGTGCAGTCGGCGGAACATGAAAGACGTGAAAAGCGGTGAGCGTGGCCTTGTGGTCTAGTGGTATGATTCTCGCTTAGGGTGCGAGAGGTCCCGGATTCGATCTCCGGCAAGGCCCAGCCTTTCACTGATCATGGAAGAAGAGTATTTGCATCTCACTTTATGGCTTCTAGACAACAGCAAATGATCTTTCTTGCACAACAGAGGACCGGGACAAGTTTAAACTGAAGCTGTTGCTGTGCGCGAGAAAGGAGCACTCTAACACGATCGATGGACGTAACGGCTTACACAAAGCACCGCAATGGTTTGAAAAGAGTCGTCAGCGTCGGAAAAGTGCCAATACGATGCGTCCGCATTCGACACTGCAATAATAGCACGTGTGTGTGGGTGCACGCAGCTCGTGCAGTCGGCGGAACATGAGGACGTGAAAAGCGGTGAGCGTGGCCTGTGGTCCAGTGGTATGATTCTCGCTTAGGTGCGAGAGGTCCCGGACTCGATCTCCGGCAAGGCCCAGCCTGTCACCGATCATGCGAGGGAAGAGTATTTGCATCTCGCTTTATGGCTTCTAAACAATAGCAAATGATCTTTCTTGCACAACAGAGGACCGGGACAAGTTTAAATCGAAGCTGTTGCTGTGCGCGAGGAAGCGAGCACTCCAACAAGATCGATGGACTAACGGCTTACAAAGCTTCGCGATGGTTTGAAAAGAGTCGTCAGCGTCAGTAACGTGCCAATACGATGCGTTCTTATTCGACATTGCAATAATAGCACTCTTTGTGTGAAGTGCACACCAACCCTTCGTCTGAAAACAGTCGGCTGGAACACGAGGCGTGAAAAGTGGTTGCGTGGGCTTTGTGGTCTAGTGGTATGATTCTCGATTGAGGGTGCAGAGGTCCCGACTCGATCTCCGGTAAGGCCCAGCGACCCATGCGATCATGCGAGGAGAGTTATTTGCATACTCGCTTCTATGGCTTCTAAACAACAGCAAATGATCTTTCTTGCATAACAGAGGACCGTACAAGTTTAACCGGGAGCTGTTGCTGTGCGAGAAGCGAGAGCACTCCAACAAGATCGAAATGGACGTAACGGCTTACAAAGCACCGCTAATAATGGTTTGATAAAGAGTCGTCAGCGTCAGGTAACGTGCCAATACGATAAGTTCGCATTCGACACTGCAATAATAAAGCACGGTGTGTGGGTGACGCAGCTCTGCAGTCGGCTTGAACATGAGGACGAAAAGCGGTGAGCTTGGCTTTGTGGCTAGTGGTATAAGTCTCGATTAGGGTGCGAGAGGTCCCGGACTCGATCTCAGGCAAAGGCCCAGCCCGTCACCGATCGGCGTGAAGAGTTATTTTCATCTACGACTTTATGGCTTCTAAAGGCAACTTAGAGCAAATGATCTTTCTTGCACCAACAGAGGAAAGGGCAAGTTTAAAATCAAAGCTGTTGCTGTGCGCGAGAAAGCGAGCACGCCAACACGATCGATGGACGTAACGGCTAACAAAGCACCGCAATGGTTTGAAAAGAGTCGTCAGTGTCACAACGTACCAATGCGATGCGTTCGCATTCGACACCGCAAAATGCACTTGTGGTGGGTGCACGCCTTCGTGCAGTCGGCTGGAACATGAGGACGTGAAAAGCGGTGAGTGTGGCCGTGGTCTAGTGGTATGATTCTCGATTGAGGTGCGAGAGGTCTCGTACTCGATCTCCGGTAAGGCCCAGCCTGTCACCGATCATGCAAGGAGAATATTTTCAACTGGCTTTATGGCTTCTAAACAACAGCAAATGATCTTGTTTCTTGCACAACAGAGGACCGGGACAAGGGTGAATCAAGCCGTTGCTTTGTGCGCGAGAAAGGGAGCACTGCAATCAAGGCCGATGGACGTAACCGCCACAAAAAGCACCGCAATGGTTTGAAAAGAGTCTAGCGTCAGTAACGTGCCAATGCGATGCTCCGCATCTGACACTGCAATATTTGCACTTGTGTGTGGGGTGCACGCAGCCCGTGCAGTCGCTCGAACATGAGGACGTGAAGAGCGGTGAGCGTAGCCTTGTGGTCTAGTGGTATAATTCTCGCTTGGGAAAGAGTCCCGGATTTGATCTCCGGCAAGGCCCAGC